TCTGCTTGTGTTTTTTTTTTGAATTGGTTGAAATTTGATACAAACAAAATTGAATTTTTTTTACAAACCTTGTACATGTTCTCAAGAAAAAAATTCTTCACATAGGGGAAAAGAGCGTACTTGAAAACCCCTAAGTCCAAGTTTTCACTTTGTTTGGTGATACTTCAATAATGAATTCTCAAATGCAATTTGTATGAAATTCCCTGTTTCATTCTTAAAAGCGGTCCGTGGTGAGCTTTGAGGCAGATGGGATTTCCATATTTGAAAAGAGCGCACTTGAAAACCCCTGAATCCAAGTTTTCACTTTGTTTGGCGAAATTTCGATACTGAACTTTGCATTTCAATTTCATTTGAAATCCCGTTTCAAAATTACGGGGCGCGTCCTGGTGGACCTCTGCTGGGTTGCGAAAGGTATCTGGATAGAAGCGGGGCCTAGCATGCGTTCTGCACATGTGTTAATTATCGTTATTGACAACTCATGACCTCCAAAATTACATCTCAGTTGGCTGTCAGGGGACCTAAGTTCCGTTCCCCGTATTTCCGCCACACACTCAACAAACATCTGATCAACAAGATTTTTCGCTTTACATTCTTTTTTGCTATTTTTCCCAACAAGTTTTTTTCTCGTAGGAATACGTCCTCTGAACATGCCAGTGGTAACTTACAGGTTTCGTTCGTGCTGTCTTGTGATGTTTGTTGAACCTTTTAATTCTGGTCAAGTGAATGCGAGCCCGACTTGTGGAACATTCTGAGAACAAGTTGTTTTGGATGTTGGAAATTGTCGGGTTGCATGCACCTGACCAGAATGAAAGTCGACAAACTTATCAGCAAAAGATCGGCCACAGGTCGTCGAGAACTATTGCCAGGTTTGCGATTGTTGCCGTTGTTGACAGGATTCCAATGGCAAGGAAGCCAAAAAACACGTAATTACAATTAATGCAATTTCCATGAAATCTGGAGATCCAAGTCAATACCGGCAAACCGGAAAGTCGACAACCTGTGGCCGATGGTCCAAGTAGGCCATGCTTAGATAGCGCCACCTTTTGGAACCCTGCACTCCGGAAATTCAGAAAAACCAGAAAACATGAAGATTGAATAGACATTCTAAGTTTTCAGGGAAGGCTTAACAGTAGCGTAACCTCAGCGTTGCGTGATATACACACGACTCAAAGGATATTCGATGTTCAGATCCTCCTGAAATGAAAATTAGAGAAAAGGAATCAAGAGGGTATAAACAGCAAAGAAGATTATAGGACAGGAATGCTGCGAGTGCATGTTCCAAGCGCGCTGCAGCGTACTGTAAAGCTGGAAAGGCTCCAAAAACGCATGCGCGCGATGGTGTAATTACACGAGTCGGGGCAGTCGTCGACGAATATCCTTTAGGACATAAAATCTTAAATCTCTTATCAAATTATGCCTCTGAAGAAGACGATAAGTGGAAACGTTAGGAAGTACTATTAACAATTAAATCTATCAAACTTCATGCTAGCATACTAATCTACTTACCACACAGACAGAATTCTGATAATGTTAATGTTCTACCTGCTTTTTACATCTCGACTTCCAGTGAAAAATGTTGCGATTACCCCTTTCCATATCTTCGGGCATGCGCTCACGCTCAGTCATGCGTGGCTGTGCCTGACAAAGAAGTTCACTTGGCCGATCAAATGCATCTATAAGGGGCTTCTCAAAAGCGACAAATGAGTGAGTTGTGTGCCACAGAGACCACATTTGGTATCAGGAAGTGGGTGAGACTACTATGGCAATAGCGCTTACAATACGTCAAAAAAGTTATCGCAATCCGATAAACTCCAGTGAATTTTAACGGAGTTTGACAGAGTGCGGCAATTTTTTGACGAATTGTAAGCCTATTGTAGTAAGCGCGGCGACCTCATGGAAATTACATAGACCGCACAGCATTATAACTTCTTTCAGACTCTGAAGTATGAATCCGAAAAGCATCAAGCTTAGCTCGTTCGTCAAGACGAAACTTTTTGCGAAGGGATTTTCGCTCATGTTTACTTTGAGTTTTACTTTGAAAAGCTATAACTTTGTCCAGTCTTTATATGAATGCCATCAAAACCAGCAGAAGCAGTGAACCTTTTGTAACCCAACGCGCGCTCTATTTATACTGATATCGCAAAAGGAAAGAAAATCGAGCGAAAAGAAAAATGAAGGTTTTTAGAAAACCTCGTTTTGCCAGATTCTTCCCTCAGTTTTGTTCCTATGGCTGCTGATCAGCTTATTTTGTAAAAAAAATTGGGCCAAAAAAACTAAAGCAACAAAGTTTCAATCTTGAGTGCAGCTGTGCGGGATGCTAGTGGAATTCTCACAGATGAGATAGAAGCCTAATTTCAAATCTTGGAAAGTACATAAAGAAACTTTTTCAATGATACGCAGGATCTGTATCGAAGAAGTTTTGAAGGAAAAAAGTTGTTTGGAAAGTAGGCCTAGAAGAAAAACACTTTTTTGCAACAGTCTAAAATTTCCATCTATTTCCTTTAACTTATAAGGAAAGCGTGTTGCGTCGAAGTGACCTTTCCAATTGAGTTCTATACCCCTTTAGAGCTTGAACGCTAATTACAGATACATTTTAATTCATGCTCGACCATCCTTGAATCTCTTGGCATTACTGTGTAGTTGCAGTTTGCTGGTGTTGGACCTGCAGACTTTTGGCAAACTGCCAAATCGCGCCACTGAAATCGCGTGAGGTATGCTCGATCTTTAAGTAATCGAGTTTAGTCGCTCAAAAGCGTGATACGCTTGTGGTAAAGTGTGTATAGCTTAAGTGAACTATAAAATGCCCTGCCTTCTGCACATCTAGAAAGTGCTTATAGCGAGTTATGGAATAGTTGGAAAATTGCCAAGTCGCGTCGCGAGTGAAACGCGTAAAGTATGCCCGACCCTTTACGCGCTAAAACTCCTTCCGAAGTTGACGCTCTGTTTGCAAGACGAAGTAGTCATACAAAAGTTGTCAGAAGGTTCGCAAATACGCAAGCTGCAACATCAAGTTAGAACCATTTATCCGCAATCGATGCGTACAAAAACTAAACATGATCCAAATTTTACTCTCATAGGAAGCAGCTAGCCAAAACCGAATTTTCCGAAATTTTGATACGAAAGGTTGCTTGCACCAAACATGAGAACAAAGCAGATCTGAGCGCACAGCATGCTGCCCTTGCCTGAAAAACTGCCCCTAAGCCCGTTACGCGCATGTCATTCTAATGCGCGCGGACGAGCTTGTGATTCTCCCTGACCCGTCAGAGAAGGCGTGCCGCAATGTTATAATTGCGAGGGTCCGCAACGATTCTGCACCTCTAACCATGGCAGCACGTGCCCCACTCGTCCAAATTCAAAGTGAGAGTCCTTGGGAAATGGTGGTTTTTTGCCACTTTCGCTTTCATTTTCGGAATCAGCGCCTCGAATTACCCCAGGTAAGCAAAGAAAATCGAAGTCGAGAATCTGCCGAGCCGCTTACTTCAATACCACACCAAGTCATTTTTCACGGAACTGCTGGAAGGATTAGATTTTCAAAATTTTGAGCGGTTTTCTATCTGACTGAGGCTCCCGCCAGAGTGCCGAAGCCATGCCAGAGCTACGCCAGCGCCGAGTCAGCGTTTCGATTGATGCACGTGTATTTTGTTGGGGCAGGGCTAGCTGACCTAGTTCTCAGCCAGGACCCCTTACACCCATACGTGTTGGAAAGTATAGGCCTGGAGTTTGATTAGTTATTTGACGGTGCCAAGCAAAAACAAGACCGTTTAGGATTCTGTTAGGTCGGCCCGAAGTTGTGCCGTCTTTAGACCTACACTTAAATCACAGATGGACAAACGCTTTTAGCAGCGTTCGATGCAGAATTTCTTTTTCTTTGAGCAGTGAAGGTTGTTATGAGTAACTTAATGACAAACCATTGTTTTCAGTGGTCGTAGTTTTTTGATAACTTTCAAATCTTCCATTTCAAATTTGAAATAGGTTTGTAACAGTCAATTAGAGTGATGAAAATTCAATACAATGGATTTCTGCGGTGCCATAAAACCTGGCTTTCCAGCACTTTCCAAGATGAACTTCTCGAACTCCAAAAAATTCAAAACTAATTCTCTTAAACTTCCAAGCATAAATTATGATTAAACAAATCAACGCTAATTACACAAGGCAGTCGAATGTTTATGGCTTCAAAATACTGAGTTTCGGATTCGCCGGGTACGGACAGGAACGGTTCAAAACAAAAATGACTATTTTTTTCCTCAGGCTTCACAGACTCAAAAGAAGAAAGATTTAATAAAAAGAGAAAAAAAACTGCATCTAATGAGACCTTAAATGCTCGCCGTTTGTTGATGAGGTTCGGGATGCCCAAATATGAAATCTGGTATACCATCGAAAAAAATGAATTTAACAAGTCAAAACCTAATGTAGATGCCAAAAAAACCCATTGTGCTGCACTTCGTTTTCTGTTCAACTGTCACTGAACCTCTTAATGAAAATCTAAATCGGAAGCTATAAAAAATAGCTGAACTTAGGGTAGATAAATAGCACAGATTGAAGGCGTCGTCTACTTTATTCTGACATGTGTGATATAAGCATAGGTCTAAAAACCGCACGAACTTTCGGACCGACCTGATGCTCATTTAAATTTTCAGTAAAAGGAACGAGAAGCAGTTTTTTAACGTTAGAAATTCCGCGAGCACAATGTAGAAATCTACAACACTGAAAGCTAAGATATTTTTGCAGAATTTGATTGTCTGTTAAAAAAAACTAAAAGTGTCATCATCACTCCTAATTGCTGCTGATTCAAAGAAAGCCAGAATGGAACGAAGAGAAACCAAGCCCAGAGCTTGTAGCCTTACAGATTACAACATTCTCGATAGTAAAAATATTTCGTATTTTTATTTGAGAAGAAAAACTTAAGTATTACGAACAATCTCGAAAAGAAATGAAACACTGCCAGTGATAGGCGTTACGCTCGTAGAAAGTGCCCAAGTTCAAGGTAGAGAATAAAAAGTCCCCCAATAGCTGATCGATTAATACAAGCGGTGACAGGTTTAATGTCTAGGTTTCTTGTTTTGCTTATTTGTCATCGGGTTTCTGTTTTGCTTCTTTGTTGACCGTCTTCTATGCCTTTGTTTTTCGTCTTGCTGATTTGTCATCATTGGCTTTTTGTTTTGCTTCTTTGTCATGTGTCTTCTTCGTCTTTCTTTTTTGTCTTCCCCAGTTGTCAACGTGTCCCATCGTTGCGCTATTCTATTCTTGCATTCAACGAAGCACTCCTCATTAAAGCACGGCTCCTCTTTGCAGTACTAAAATATCATTATTAAATTTCAGGCCTAAAACATCACTATCAAGACTATCTCCACCAAGCTGCTCATTGACGTACAATGTCTATAAGGGTCTCAAGGCATTCGAGATCATCTGCTTCGCATATCATTTTGTGTGCAGTGGTGCTTTTGTCGCACACCAGAAGAGCAAAGAAGTATATGCTGATGAACCTCATGTGATTCTGCAAATTTGCTTAATTTTTTTAGGCCAATAAAAGAATAGATTGAAGAGCGGAACAAAATCTAGTTGTAAAGAACACTGGAGGAGGATGGAAGAGGCAGGAGAGGGTACGGTGATATAAGGAGTTGTGTAACGTAGGAACATTTTGCTCATTGAATTTTTCATGTCAGCGAGCATTCTAGAGAAATTTTTGCATTGTAGATATACTAGAGTGATGGATTGAAACAAGCCGCAGCAAAACCGTCAAGGAGAGAAAAGAATGAAGTTGTTTGAGACAGGCACGCTTATATTTGTTTTTTACGCTTTCATTTGTGATGAAAAATCATCAAAAAAAGCCAAGTTATCGTTAAGCGGGCTACCATTCTAATCGGGTGGAATAAAAATGCTGCAAAAGTTACATAGCGAGAACAAATCGCATTTCAAACGGCCTTTATGTGTTTTTTAAGACGATCTAAAATCACACAGAAATTTTTCTGAAAACTTTTGACAGTATCTACCTAATGCATGAGCTCTACAATTAAAATGTTGAACACAAGTTGTAAGTAGTGTCGACATAGTGAGGATTAGCGCAAACTTGTTGAGACCAGGGCACGGCAGGGGTGGCTTACCAAGCAAGCTGCATATCGTTTTCGGGGAAAAGCAAAGAGGATAGGTCATTTGAACATTTTATGAAGCCAACATCAACTCAAGCATGTTAGACTTTTGCACACATCTTACTATCAGATTGTGTAAGTTTGTTCGCACATCCACTCACTTTTTTCCTAATGTTTTGTGCTGTACCAAATTGCATAGGTGCGTCTGAAAACTTCTTTCCTGTTTTATCAAATTCGCTTCTTTGTTCTCTTAAATTAGTGAGTTCAAAGATTTTGAATTGAGCGTTAAAGAGGTGGAAATTTCATTTTTGAAAACTACTTTACTTTGCCTTCCGAATAGCTGAGAATGCTTGCAAAACAGCTAAAAAAAATTTGCGAGACGTATGAGAATTGTGCTATAGATCCCGTACACCGTTCAGATTTGCTAATGTAAAGGTAGTGGCTTGGTAATAATCGCGAGTGGGGATTTCCACAACTGCATGGCCTTCTGGACTAGCTGAGTCAAATACTGTGCTTGAAAAGTCAAAAACTACTTTTTTGGAGATTTCCGACTTTGGTGATTACTGAAAATGCGGGGCGAGGGATTTCCGTCAACTGTACTTATTGATTACTTGAGCTGATCGGCCAACTGCCGCCAAAACAGGTGAAGTTACAGTATGCAGTCACTTGCTGGTTATGGAATTCCTCGCCCCGCCCCTCTAGTAGTCCGCAAGACACCGGTAAACTCCAAAATAAAATTATGACTCAGCTGGTACAGAAGGTCACGTGGATGTTAAAAGCCCCCAGTCGCTATTTTCCCGAGCCGCTGCCTTCAAATTCACATATTGGCTTGGAAATTGGTCTCATACTGTCTCTTCAATTTCAACACTGAAGTAGGCATTTAAGAGAAATGATCGCTGAACAAATTGGGACAAAGAGATTGGTGGTTATAGAATGTCGATTTCATCGGTTGCTTACAAAGAGATTCGCAATTTGAAGGACACGTAGCTTGAGCAACAGCGACGAACATATGCATATGAAGGCAAACAGTGTCTCGACAAAGCTTCGATAGCCTATCTGTGCCTACTGATGTTTTCCTGAAGTCCTCAATCAAAAATTTTGAAAATTAGCGAAACTTTAACATGACGAAAACTAAGGCCTGTAAATTTCAGCACTCTCTTAACGACTCACTCTGTAAAATAGCAGCTGCAAAGAGAAGGAAATGCTACATCGGATGCGAAGTGTTTGTTAGCCTTTATTCTACCGTATTCGCCGATGGATTCAAAATTGACAACATTGCACCGATCTAATATGCATAAGCGTATTAACATACATCATTAGATTGTGTGATTCCGTTCGCATCCTTTTAAGGTTTTACTCAATATTTTGCTTACCTCTTGACTAGTTGGATATATGTGTTTAGAAGCTGCAAGCCTGTTTATTCCGCAAATCAGCAGGAGATCTCATAAGATATTTTGGCTTTTCAACAAAAAATACAAAGATTCAGAATAATTCTTGAAAATTGCACTCCCCTACAAGTTCCTCCTTTTTCATGGGTAAAATTACTTAACGAACATGAAAACACAAATGAACAAAAGATAAATCTTTTTTGTAGGTTCTGTCAATTATGCTTGTTCGCTCAATTTCACATCTGCTTAATGCCATCTTTTAAATGTCGGCGAAACAAGTCTTTGTCGGGACAATGTTCTCCTTCATATGGAGGTAATCTTCGCTGTTTCAAGCTATATGTCTCCCAAATTGCGAAATCCTTTCCAAATTCCACTGGTAAATTCAAAAATTCTGCAACTATCACCCCTTTCTCATAGTTCTTGGACCGTTCGGCAGTAATTTCCCGCAAGCCTTCGGGTGCCTACTGTCGAAATTGAAGAAAAAATGAAACGATTTCCACGCTAGTGAAATGAAAATTGATTTAGCAATCCTTAGCACGAATCTATAGCAATTATCTTCACGTCGCAGATTCAAGCTGTTTTTTTAGCACTCTCACCTATGGAAGGCGAAGTAAGATAGTTTTCAAAAATGGAGTTATCACCTCCTCAATTTTCAGTCAAAGTCCTTAGCTTTTTTCCAAACTCAGCAATAGAGGAAAAGAAAGAAGTTCTAACAGAATAAGAGTTTTTGGACGCATTTACACATCCTAATACGACAAAAAATACTAGAAAGAAGCGAGTAAACATGAGAATGGACTTGCACAATTTGATAATAAATTCTTCGTTGTACAAGTGTAACATACTCGAGATCCCCACTATATCGAACAGTACTTACAGCTTCTGATCAACGTACTATGATGTAGCGTTCTTACTATATGTATAACTTTTGCAGCTTTTGTGCCACCTAAGTTGTATGCCAGGCCACTTCGGCAGTTCGGCTTTTCCTAATAGTTTTCCGATATCCAAAACCGATGCAAAACAAATATAAGTTTGTGTCTGTTTTCTTTACGTTTCGCCTTTGCTGTGTTTGTGTTTCAAACACGATTTTGAATAAACTCCCACCACCATTCTTTGCTTTGAATTCAGTGGCTCAACTGAAAACGGCGTTGAAGAAAGTAGATTTACTGCAGTTAATGGGAATTGATGATGTGAAGTGAATTTACTTTAGAATTATTTTGCCATCCTTTCTTTGGCATGATCCGCTGCATTCTTTTGATGTTATCAACCGGTACTTTGGCAGCATGGGCCTGTAATGGTCTCCTTTCTTGCTTTTTTTTGTCCTGCCTAGCTCTGTTAGTCTCATTGTACTTTCAAAAATTCACTCATCCTTCCTCGGGGCTTTAACCAGCTAGCTTCCGCCCGTAGGCTCGCTGGCCTCCACAAAAGAGGGAATTTAATTTCTGAAAGACAGTGAGATTAACAGTTTTAATATGCTTTACACCAGAGTAACAACTTTGGCCACTCTTTACCCAAAGATAATCCCAGGGACAAGTGTTGGGGCCTTACTTTTTCTGTGCTTCCTGCAGGGTACATGCCAACGATTGGGTCATACGTGTTTTTCCACGTGTGTTTGACTAACCATGCGATGCTGATATATTGTGTTTGTTACTAACCCGATCATGATCAAAGAGCACTTTTTGGTGCATTTAAATAAATAAATAAATAAACTCAGCAAAGGAGAAAAATAAAGAAAAAAGTTGGTAGAGTAAAAGTTTTTGGACGCATTTACGCATTTTGATGCGACACAAAACACTAGGAGAGAAGCGAATAGACGTGAGAATGTATTTACAATTTGATAATAAATGAATGCGTCGCAGCAATTTTGCACCTAACCCTCACTATATCCACAGCACTTTTAACTACCCTAATTTCACGCGTACAAGGCGCAGGGTGGTCCTAGCTTTCATCGACCAGCCCGAACACGGCAAAGGACTTCGCAACTAAAGGAACCCCATACCGTGCTGCGTTTTGCCTGACGAATCGTGCGGCATAAGGATCGCTTCTTAAAACACGTTGGGGCGGCTGAGCAGCTCGATGAAAGCTAGGACCACCCCGCCCCTTGTACGCGTGAAATTAGGGTACTTTTTGATCAACCGATTATGATCAGGGTCGAGCAAGAGATGTGCCACACAACCGCCGGATTCCACCCTCCCCTACCCTAAGTTCTCGATACCCCCCCCCCCCCCATTTTCGGTTGCCTGCCGTAGGCAGGACATAAACGCTTTATCTAGCACAATTAGTAACATAGTTGTGATTATCATGTCAGATAATCCCTGTGGGCCAAGTTTTAGCGAATTCTGGGGTTTCCCAATATTGGGCCACCCAAGTGAAGTGGCCATTTTCAAACATGATTAACTATTCCAAAAGTGAAGTAGCTACCTCTTCTTGTACTCAATACGAAGCACTACTCCTACTCGCCTACACCATGGATCCTGCTTTAAATAACCATCAAGCTATGGAATTAAAAACCAACCAAAATCTCGTTTGTCCCATTGCATGCAGTAGTTGTACTCTTAGCAACTATTGCTCAAACGAAAGAAAACGTATTCACATCTAATTATTTTTACAAAAACTACGAGATTTTTGCTTCTAATTGTAGTTAATTCGTTTCCTTAGGTTTTCTTTGAAGGTAAGTTAATGTAACAATCCTCAGGAATCTGTGGGGGGCCAAACCCCATCCTTCAGAGCATTCAAATATCTGCATTTTCTATATCGTTGCTATTGCTCAACCTTCTTCGTCACACGGTAGAAATCATTTGAAATTGTTTTCTCTAGCGAAAGATATAGTCGTTTTCCCTTACCTATGCACATGGAAAATGCTGCGAAAATATTAGGATACCAGTGCGTCACCTCTGCATAGCAGAGGCTCGCCCTGGCTCCACTATCTAGGCTTTACTCATTCTCGCACGTTGGTGGCATTGGAACTCACCGAGCAATGCCGACTATCACGAACAAAATGTAAATACTCATTCCGAAACTTTTTTATGTGAAATCGGTGATTTCGCGTGGATGAGATTTTTTTCAAAAAACAAACGCAAATTTTTATGAGTTTTTGAGTTTCCCGTGGTCTTGACAGTTGCAATAATGAGCTAGACCTTTGTGCAAAAATCTCGTCAAAAGCTCTGATAAAACCTTGACAAATTGACCACTTAAGCAACCAGTAGTTTTTGGCGCCGTTTTTGTAAAGTAATGGACATTTGATCACTTTTTTAAGCCTAAGTTAGCTTGCACATTTACTTGGCATAGACATTCACGACTCTGCAAAAAGTGGAATTACGGACCCAATTTTGCTGCCCAAATGTAAGTGGGTCTGTTTGACTCGCAATTTCTGAGGAAACCACAAAACCAATTTGTCATGCGGGTAGCATGCGCTGTGCAAAATTTGAGCCCAGGAGGTTGGCTGGAACACGCTCTACACACACACACACACACATACACACACACACATACACACACACACACACACACCACACACACACACAACACACACATACACACACACACAACACACACATACACACACACACACACACATACACACACACACACACACAAAGTCACGTAAACATCCTTAGCCTATTATTATAAGTAATGATGGTAACATGCTCACGTTTGAAGCGAAGGTATCATGTTTGAAAATGACTATCTCACTTGGATGGCCCATTATTTGGAAACCTCAGAACTCGCTGGAACTTGGCGCACAGGGGTTATTTGACATTCTAGTTACGAAAATGCTGCCGTTATGCTTATAGTGCTCTTTTATTACGCTAACTGTACATATACGATTGTAGGCCAAAACATCAATGTGCTAGTACTTTACGCAACGCCTTAATTGTTAACGAATATCAGGTCGCTACAACAGCTCAACTCGATAACGACCCCCTCTCCCCTCCCCGACCCATCAATATGACCCCGCAGGTGTGGCATGCTACACCCCACGCTTGACCCTGTTTATAATGTAGAGTTTTGAATTAGGTAAACATTGTCAAAACTTCTCAGAAATCTTCTGTGTGGTTTTGAATCGTCTCAAGGAAAACGGTTAAAGGCCTCTTAAAGTGCAATTTCTTCTCGCTATATGTAAGATTTTTGTAGCATTTTGTTCCGCCTGATTTGCATGCGAGGTCGCTTAACGACACTTTTGGGCTTTCCTTGATGATTTTTCGATTATCAAACGAAAACGATAGAGAACAAATCTAAGTGTGTTTGTGCTTAGCGCGTTTTCTTTACCCTCCCTGACGGCTTTGCGTCCGCTCATTTCGATCTAGTAGCATAGTATGTTCAATGCAAAAACTTTTGGCTAATGCTCGCCGACATAGATTCTTCGAGCAGAACGTCAACCTAGAAGCAAAATGTCAACGTTACACAACTCAGACCGACATGTAGTTCATCAACGTATACTTTGTTGCTTTTCTGATATGCTTGTGTCATGGAGACCTTATTTCCGAAGTACGTCAATGAGCAGCTTCATGAAGATAATATTGATAGCAATATTTTAGGTCTGCCGCCAGTTCTGCAAAAGAATCACATTCTGAGGTCTGCGTGCTAAACTGCAAAGCCCTAAAAATTAGAATCGAATAGGCAAGCCAAATAAACAGCATTGACGTGTATGTACAATGCTGATAGAAATAGTGATGAGGAAATGGGCACACTGTGCAGGCTTGGCAGAGATGGTTTACGTGCAGGTTGGATATCATTTTGAGAATAGAAGCAAAGAGTATCGTTCTTGTGTGGCCCTGCAGATTTCAGGAAAACGTGCATATTAGCATGGAAAATGGTGTAAATGGAAAAAGTAAGCCAATCGCTTCGTACAGGAACAGGATTTCGACTAGTAAAAAAATTTCAAAGGCCGTAAGACCAAGACAATTTAAAGTAGATATTATATGAAGCTAACTGAAAAGTATCCGAAGAATTAGCAGACTTCACGCCAATTAAGGCAACAAATTTTTGCAACCTTTCCCCTTAACTTATCCCATCTCTAATGTCACACTGTTGTACACATACATAGTTCCAACCGTAGTTGCGACAGGGAGAGCAGTGGAACTCAGCCTCCTCACTTTTGAGCCAGAACTCGAGAAAACCGCTTCACTTGAGCCTAAATTGGGAAAGTATGCTAAGAGTGAATTATGATCAAAAGCTGTTGCAGACCCAACCTCAGTTGCGAAACCACAACAACCACTTTTTAATACAAAAATAGCTTTTTTATCGATTGCAATAGGCATTACGTTATCACTCGCGCTTCTTTCCGCACCCTTTCAATGTCTCTAATGGATACTGTAGTGAAAAACCAAATAAATCCAAGGAATAAAAATAACTTGAAAATGTAAGACTTCAAAAAAGAGTGTAAAAACTAGAAAATACTTGAATTTTTGAGAACATTAGTAGTTGTTGCTCCTTTGCTGCGCTTTCTGCGCCGTTCTCCTTTTGTTTTGTTTTCAGAGCATTTTTGAACAGTTTTCAAGGCTCTAGGGATTTTGGGAGTTGTCACAATTTTAAGATAGAACAGATAAACACCTTTGCTTGTAAGAGAGGCGAGAACCATCAAAATCAAGTACTATAAGTCTATATGCAGGCAGGTGCTAACAGCAAGAAAACAAGAAAAATACTTCTGAAAATGAAAAAAACGTGTGATGTGCAGTGGTTACTATTGCTCATGTGATTGCGACCACAGAAACTTGGCTAAATCCCGGCTACAACATCAAAGATTCAGCTCATTTTTGGGATTTGTGTTCTAATTATTTTGTCTATAGATGCAATCGCCAACTCAGAAAAGGAAAGGTGTCGAACTCTTGTCATATTAATTTACAGAGCGCCTGTCCCTTCTGCTTGCCAGATCAATTAATTAAAACAATATCGGTCTTGATAGCTTCCAACCTTTACTCCATTGTGCTGAGGATTTCAATTACCCTGAGATAGATTGGAACAAATGGAAAATGAGTAAGAGTAATTGCATAGCCAGAACTTTTTCGAATATGTGCCCAAATCTAGACCTCTGCCAAAAAGCGAAGTTCTGAAAACTTGGAAGGAATGTCCCAGATTTGATCTTAACCATCGATGATTCTTTGATCACTGCTGTGAAAGCAAATACACCTACTGGGTCAAGTGATCGCGCTATGATCAGTTTTTGCATGCGTGGCGCGACACCGTACTCAAGTGGTCTCACTAGGAACTGATGGTGATTTTCGAGATGCCGTCCAATACTTGATGGATGTTGGTTGGATGGTTCGTTTAGTAGTCACTAGTGTAATTGAAATGTACAAAATGTTGATTTCCGTAATCCAAGATGCAATCGATTTCTTTATCATGACAAAGTTGGCACCATCAAGTAAACAGTATATACCATTACATATACAAAGTTGTACAAGGTCCGAGAGGTGGCTTGTTTTAGATTTAGATCAACGGATGGCGAAAAAGACTTGACGAACTTTAGAAATGTTAACTCAAGTTTTGTAAGGAAACTCAAGAAATTGAATACATATTTAGAGAAAAAGATAGTCGAAACCGGCAATAGGACCGCATTATACCGCCTACTCAACACAAGATTCAAAGAGAGAAAAGGGATAGGAGCTATCATATCTGATTCTGGAGACATCCTGACCTCGGAGATTGAAAAAGCTGAAAGTTTTGTCGAGGTCTTGGAAGAGGTGTTTGTTAGAGAAGACTATTCATTAGATCAAGCCTTCATTCAACTGACTTTTGAAGTGATGAAAGAGTTGCGCTAAATTGATGATTTTATATTTACGAACTGCTTCGAAAACGGCCTCAATCAAAATCTGTGGCTCTGATTTTATGCCTTTGCATTTCCAAAAACCTTATACATAGTTTATAATTACCGTCATGTAAGCATAACGTCGATATTCGCGCGCTTTTACGAAAAGTTGAGGGAGGGCTCACGTCACGCCCTTTTTTTCTGAAATCTCGAGGCTATGGGCCCGAAAAGTTTCAGGAATCATAGCAGAAAATTTTTCGGGGTTTTTTATCGCCACTTCCGAACCGAAATACTGGTACGCGGTAATGTTAAGTGCAATCACTCATAATTCATTCGGAACTAGTACCACCAATCGTTTGAGAAGTACATGCATATGCATACTACTTTCAAATTACCTGACAACCGGAACGATTGTCTTCTATTGCTTTGACGCGAGAAATTATAGCCCTAAAAATCAACAAATGAGTGGAGGAAAAGCTGTCTAAATCACCACTTGTATATGTGTTTTTAGAGGCATAAACTCGTCAAATAAATCGTAAGGACATATTATTTTAGGACATCTGAATCACAAGAATAAGCAAGAAGTTTGCTGTTTACTTCGAAAAATCTGCTTTCTCCCATTTTCCATCTCACCATCATAACGGAGTTGTAAATCATGTTTCGTTTCATCTTATATATAAAGCTGAATGTCTGTTTGTCTGTATGTCTGTGTGTATGTACGTATGTTCCGAAAAGAAAATTCCATTTCTAAACCGATCGGGACCAAACTTGGCACACATACACTTTGGGCCCCGGCGGGTGTCCGGCAGGAAGAGAGTTTCTCAGTGCACAAGCAAATAGTCCTTTAAAAGTATTTTAAGTCCGAAACCTTCACAGATTAGTCTATTTGGACCACTACTAATTCTGTACCCTTGACAAGGATTCTTTAAGAGGTGGATCAACGGGAGAGGCTGACTAGGGTGCATCCACATTCGAGAGTGGGTTGCGAATATCTTTGAAAGTGGCCTACATGATTCGTAAAATTGCGCAAGTGACTTACTTCACGTAAATAATAATTTGCAGAGATTTGCAGTTTTTGACATGGTGAAATTCTGTATCTCGCACTGGACATGTTTAGGTAGCGCTAGCAGTATAATGTTACGATATAAAAGTGTCCAACATAGAGCAGAATTTACATTAGAACGAATCAATAACTATTTTCAAAAAGATAAAATTTCGGAGACACTTGTGTTTACAACAGGAACAAAACGAGATCAAAGCACAGCGAATTACTAAATGAGTGAAGTACATAGCACAAATTGTTGTAATTTTTACAAGTTGGATACAGAAAAATGCAAAATTTTGGAACACGAAAGCTAACAAGGGAATGATCAGAAATCAAAGTGGCCATTCCAGACAAGCTGCACAGCGTTAGATGCAGCATGAAGCGCTGACTTTAAACCTGTCTTCTTTATCAGCTTATCGCTTTTCTGTACGAAGTTATGAGCCATTGAAGGCCATTATTTTGCTTAGAAATTACGCGCGAAATTGAAAATTCAGCCGTACGAACCCTCGTTCGCTCAATGCTGGACGAAAACATGCAGCTAGCTTACTCAAAATTTTTGAAGCCAAAAGGCGAGCTAAAAGTGCAACAATGTGCTCAATTTCGCTGTTTTTACGTTTGATTTTTCCACAACAAAACCGCTTGTAGCTTCATCCACAGAAGCGGGAAGCAGATAAGGAAAATAGATTCGAAGTCAGTGTTTTATACTGCATCGAATGATATACAGCTTTTTTGGTTTGGCCACTTCGACTTCTGACCATTCCCTTGTAAGCTTCATTTCTCTTCTGGGCTCAACCTTACCAAAATTGAGAGAATAATGATAGGTATGCTCTGCTCTATATGCTCTGAAAGGTGTTCTATGTAAAGTTTACTCCTCTTTTCAGCAGCTATGTCAGCGGGCCAATCCCTGTAATTGTTCAAAAACCAACAAAATCTCAAACCCTTCTTTTTTTCCTTGTGTAACTTCAGTTGATCTAGGAAATGTTCATTTCAAAATTCTATATAATGTCGCTTACATGAAGATAAATCAAACTTTCAGTGCAAGTTTTCTCTAGGTTTTTTTTTTTGAGGGTTTGAGTTTGAAACTTCTGTGATTATTTCACTAGTTGTCATGAGATTCAGTTCGAACGGTAATTAGAGGGTAAAAAGAAAAACATGTTGGGACTCGTTTGGAACACCTTTTTGAATGATCGGATCTCGACTAATTCAAAGATTAGATGTAAGTTTCTCACCTTTGTTTCACCTGATAAGTCTAAGAAATGGGGGATGCTTGGGATCCGCAGCCATTCAAAATAAGCTATCTTGTTGTTATATAGCAAAATCGAAACTCGCATCGATCGCTGCCCAGCCTTTTCTGGAAAAGACTTTGTATCTTGGACTTTGATATCCCAAAACGGAGTTCTGTCCATTGAAGAGTTTGATCGGCTCACAGTCGTCAACTTTTTTATCCTTGACTTCGCTTTCCAATGCGAATAACAAAATATTTTGCTTGTTCATCCCGAAATCATCATGATCTTATGACCTTGCTATGTTCTCGACAATTTTGAAGAGACACCTTCTAGGTTGATTGACCGAAATAGATGGAGACACAACACCTAACCACCCACAAGGTTCGTTGATGGCTCTCAGTTTTTGTGTAGAAGCTTAAGCTTCCCATCCTTTCAGAAACGGCTCATGCTAAAGAAAAGTTAATGCCAGAAAGAAGGTTTATGATTTATGCGTCCGAAGTATGACTTTTTCAACGCACACACTTTCATTTTTAAATACAGAGTGGCCCAAAGTTATTTGCCTACTGTTTAATTGTTAGTAATTCTATTGTCATGGATTATTCGAGAAGTTTCAGATTTTTTGTGGAGCGGGTTCGAAAAAAATTTCAAAAAAAATCTGGACACTTTACAAAGTTCTCATGCATGCTTCCTCCACAACATCCTTTTTGCGCGTTCGCAGAGCTTCCTGGAAATTGATGATGGGGTCCTAACTAAGACACCGCCCAAACAACAGCGTGAATGGTTTATTTACGGCTGAGAAATCCGTCCCCCAATACCCTACGCCTGCGCCGTGACCTTGACCCGAAAACGACATCGCTCACTTTAACAGTCCGTTCGCGCTGGGACCCATTCCAAGTGTTAAGGTCACGGCGCAGCGCGAAGCATTTGATGAGTGATTTCAGCTGTGAATGAATTATTTGCGCTGCCGCTTAAGCAGTGCCTGCTAGGATCCCCTCATTAATTTCCAGGCGAGAAACCCGTGCGCTCAGATTTGCCTGGACACTGGCATATCTGGCATAGCTTATGAGAAAAGCGCAACGTGAAGTGCGACTTCCACAGCTGTAGTCAACGGCTCCAGTCAAAATATTGTAGAAGTTTTAAGATTTTTGAGTCTTTTTTTGGGGGGGGGGAGGAGGGGAGGGGGTAAAATACGACACTCAATGACGCAAAGTCCTCAAAATTTTTACCGTAATTCTACAGTAATGAAGAGAGAACGTCCGCTCCATACTACTTATTCTAAGCTGAAGCTACTTGAAGATGCCCAAGAAATTCGTTATATCGCACACTTCGCTTACCCAACAATCAACAGAGTCCGTTTGAAAGAAGGAAATATATGAAATGCTAAATTTGGGTATGGTAGAAACTATGGGCTTGCAGATTTGATTCGACATTGAAGATTTGTGAGGAGAATTTTTGAAAAGTATAATTGTTGAAAAGAGGAAGAAAACTGCATTTGATATGAAGCGCTTGTCTTTATTCATTTTAATCGTTCGTCTATGGTCAGCAACGGAAGAAACTCTCAGAAGAACCTCATATGTGGTGTATTTGGTGTTGAAAAGGATATAAGGCATGTGTATAAGTTTTTCAGGCGCGACGAATAGCTAAGAGATGTGAAATCAAAGCTGTCTTGATGGTTTAAGAACGTCAAAAGTTACCTCCTCACACATTGTCATTTCCGCCAATCGTGAGTTAAGAAAATCATGAAAACAATTTGTCTGCTCGAAACAACAAAGGAACATCTTGATTAAGCTCTTAACCCTCTACGACCAGTAAAATTTGCATTTTACTCGAACTTTAATTTTCCGTAAAAGTGAGTTTGTAGTCGCAGTACTGTCAACACATTTTAGAAAACATGAATCCATGACTAAATTTCTTTTTACGGTTGATTTTCGGCAAGTGTAATTCGTAACGAGACGGTAGATGTTATGACTACTGACTAATTGACTTTGGGCGGGGCTTAGATTGTTGCCATGTCCTGGGGAGCAATCGGAGTCAGCGAGCATGACTGTATCCCGCAGGCACTCTCCAGAACTAATTAGGCTCGGGTTCCTGAGTTCCGTTCCCCCTTTCCTACCGCTCAAAGATAAGTAACACGCATTAATTATGCATCAAAAACAAATGTCCATTGATTGCATGTTCAGATACTCTAGTTGTTACTTGAACGTTTTCTACGTTTATCCCATGTCGACAGATTTTAGAACGCAAAGTTTGCTCAGGTTTACAGACTTTTGCTTGTTCCAGTCAAAATTTTGGCTTAGAATTTTCTGTTGCTTCTGTGCGAGGTTCAACAATTCTTTTTTGAGACCTTAGTTCTTGAAACAACATTGATGGCGGTGATATTTATTCAATATCTGTTGATAGCAAATTATTTTACAACGTATTATAAAATTGTACAGAGTCTTCCTTATTACTATTTCCACTTGCCAATTCGTCAATAAAGTTCAGTATTTCCAGAATCGCCGTCTGCTGTCGCAAAGAAATTCTTCCTTAGAAGGTAAGTTTGTGAGACAGGGTGAGGGTGAGAAAGGGAGTGAGTGTGAGGGTGTGGAAGTGTATGAGAGTGAAGAAGAATAAGATTGTGTGAATGGATAGGTGTATATTAGGGCCAGTGTGTGCCAGCGCGGTAGGGTAAGGGAGAGATTGTGTGCGGGTGTACGAAAGAAAGGGAGAGTGTGGTAGGTTAAGGGCCGCATGCACTAACCTCCCCGCTGGGGAGGGGATCGCATCTTAAAAGAAAGCTTCATATTTCGAAACTTCAGATACCTGGATTTCACGATGTGTACCTATCCTATCCTACCTATCCTACTACCCTTCACTATGAACATGCTGAAGAGGAGCGAGAAGCTGTACGAACCGCATTTTCCAGCTTTTGTATGATCCCTGATGATCCCCGGCGCTTTTCTTTAAAGTCATTTTTCTTTCTCCGAAGTTAACGAAAACTTTTCAAAGCTGTACTGAACATCTAACACAACAGTGCTAAGCATGTTGCTGATGAGAACAAATGAGCCTTCGAAAAGTCGAATTTTTCGGTAAACGTCAAATTTCGACCTGTGGATCATCGAAAATTTCATGACTTCAAAACATCATTTGTTCTAATTAGCAACATGCTTAGCACTGTCGGGTTGATAATGTGCACAACTTTGGAGGTTATTCGTTAACTTTGGAGAAAGAAAAATGACTTTAAAGAAAAACGCCGGGGATCATCAGGGATGTGAAGGGTAGTAGGAACACTTACGGATAGGTACACAACGTGAAATCCAGGTATCTGGAGTTTCGAAATATAAAGCTTTCTTTTAAACTGCGATCCCCTCCACGCGGGGATGTTAGTGCATGCGGCCCTAAGTGTAAGTAAGGGGGAGTGTGTGAGCAGGGTGAGGT